CCGTCCTGTTCCTGAAGAGCAACTGGAGACCCTCAAAACCAAGTTAGAGACCAGAAAAGGGTACCTCATTTACACTTGGTATGGGGAAATCCATAGCACGTAACTAAAAAGTTTTCCATTTCAAATTTATTATTTACTGTACTTAAAGCCAATCTGACTAAGAACATCTCAAAATGACTTCAAGGTAAAGCAACTGGCCTTGTTCATAAACCACATTAAAGTAAGTCCACTGTAGGCAGGTGTGGTAGTGCAAACATAATTCCAGCTGCACAGGAGGGGTAGGTGGAGGACTGTGATCCAAAGCCAGCAGGGAAAAAAGCAGAACCTATCTGAAAAGTAACTAAAGCAAAAAGGGCTTTGGGGCGTGGCTCAAGTAGTACATACAGCACTTGCCTATGAAGCAAAAGGTCCTGAGTTCAAGCCTCAGGATTGCCAAAAAAATTAATAATAACCCCATTCTAGCAAGCCTCTCTTTGGCTTTCCAAAAGGACCATCCCATGACTTATCCAGAAGTAGTGTTTAGGCTTTCTGGTTTTAAGCACTACTAAGGTAGTGCTGGGAACCTGGCTGCAAAACTCAGCTGTGCTCAGAAATGGGCACTTACTCAACCACTCACTACTACTGATTTGCCAGTGGTCCCTAGATTTGACTGCTCCCAAAATCAAATGCATGCAAAAGGTAAATTCTCCCCTCAAAGCCAATGGTTTTATCCTGGACTTTATGACTGATTTCACTATGGGAACAGAATTGTGTGAATGTCATACACCAAAACTCAACTCTATCCAATCTGCTTTTGCTACCTCTACTAAGGAGCAGATGGCCTGGGAAACAAAGACCCTGTGGAACTTTGAAAGCTGTCCTGCAGGGAGAAGGGGCAAGACAGTCAGTGCCAAAACAATTCAAAGCCAGTCAGCAAGATGAGTCACACAAAAGGAGGAGGAAAACAAGAGTCAAATTTCCTTAAAAAGAAGGTTCAGATTAGGTAACCCTTCAAATCGGAGGTTGAAATAAAATACAAAGCAGTTAAGAGAACTACAAGGAAAAAAGTTTTTTTAAATGAATTTTAATTAATCCAGATTTTAAAGAAAAAAAAAAAAAACACTGCCAAAATAGCAGATTGTTAAGAGAGCTAAGTTCAAGTGAAATAAAAGTTAAACTACTTTCGATCCACTAAGTTAAAAGCTAAAAAAGTGTAAGTAAAATATATGGGGCCTTATGTGAAGATGGGAGTGAAAGAACTTGGCCATGGCGAGTGGTGACATAAATGTCACAAGTTCCCAGGCTGGAACGATGTTTGCAGTCTGCCACTGTAGCAGCAGGTCCTTCATCTCTGCAGAGAGCATGCATGTCTCCTCTCACTCTCCTCATGGGTGGGTTCACTTCTGGGACTGCAAGCCCCTCCTAGGAACCATGCCTGATGCCAGGAACTCCCCCTTCCTCTATCTGGTAGAGTGAATGACCCTAGAAAAGGGGTGGATGGGAATAAAAACTTCACTTGAAAAGGAAACATCTGTAGGGCTTAAGACAACCACGAAGAAAGAGTTCAACTCTGGAGACATCTCTGCCCATCAAGCTGTCACCACTGTGTACTGCCTGGGCTGCATTTCCAGTACATTGGACCTGCAGCCCTGGCACCTCAGCATGGGTCAGGCATGGCTGCAGTGCTCTGGACCTGGACCGCAGTGATTAACACTGAGGTGTTAACCCTCCCCGTCTCTCAGGTGAAGACTCATTGGTCTTCGTTTTTGTCCTATTTGCTCTTCTGACAGCTGCCATCCATCTCATTTTGGAGGGCCTTTTCTCCTGCACAACTGCACTGGGTAGAGTCCCAGAACAAGGTGTTGGGGCTGGGTACAAGCTTCACCATGGTTGTAAACACACCCTCGATGGGACGGCTGCAGAGCTGGTCCTCCTGCAGTGGTCTCTGGGCCAATTAAAAAAGTTCAGTCTTGCCTTTGAGGTCAGATCACACAAAGCATTCAGTGACTGACTCTGCAGCTGATCTGAAGCAGGAAACTATTTTTGGTTATAAGTCTTGAGATCTGACACGTATTTGGGAAAAAAGGGAGAGTACTAAACTGTTGTCTTCTCAGAGTATCTTACTTATATAGTCAAGAAAATCAGCAAGGTCATTAAAAAATGTTCTCCTTTCCATGGTGTAAGTTTTTAAAGCCTACAATTCCTGAGGTCTGACCATTCTCGCAAAATCTAGTATTTCATTAGCACCCTAACCAGCACATTAATGTCAAGGTGATCAAGAGAACTAGCTCTGGAAAATGTGGTTAGAGCTCCACATTCTTTGGATTCTACTAAAGTCAAAATTTGCAATATATTCTGAACAAGGTCGGGTTAAAATCCATCTTTGAATTAGCTATGATGTTTTTAAAAAGGATTTATTTTAAAAGACAAAATTTTAAAGCACATGTTTAGTGCAAAGTGTTTAGTGCAAACATACAACTAGGTAGCCATGAGAAATCTTCCTTACCTATGAAAGGATTTCTAAATGACCTATTCTATTTCCATGAAATACTATTAAATAATAGGAAACATGTTTTTACTTAGAATGTCACAGCCCAAACATTGTATGATCGGTAAGCCTAACCTTTTTAGTAAGGTTTCACCACTATGTGTTAATTTTATGTTAGTCTTTTTGATTAGTAAGATGTTCTCCTAACTCATTCTTAGACTTTATGTTGATTGCTTTGGTATATTTGCACCATTGGCTAACTCGTGATTTGTTATCTTCCTTTAATGACATGATTTTATCCTTCCCTTTTTACTAAAATATATTGGTTCCCACTCTACAGTTCATGGGACATGCAGAAACTATCTAGTTAACTATCAGACACAGCACTGAGCTATTAAACAAACTACAAAGCACATTTTGTGAACGAAATTTTTTATTTACACACTGTATCTAGAAGCAGATACATAAATTCTTATACAATTAATTTCCAAAAATGTGCAAGAAATTACTATAATTTGTTTTACAAACCAAAACACATATTAAAATCAATGGACTATGGATAGCTCAATTCTGGGGTGTTCTCAGTACAAATGGTACACACCTGATTTGAAACATACAGAAAAAGTATAAACTACAGCAATCTGGATTGCAAGTATTAATTTCATGGCACTCCAACAAGTATGAGATTTCTTTAGCCCAACATGTATACTATTAAAAATTCTGTAAGAATTTCTCATCATCTCTGGATATAGAGTTTGGATCAGTTTTCAGAAACAGTATGCATTTTGTCATGTTATGATAGATCAATAAAAAGGATGTTTATAAAAGGTTTTCTTTACAGGATTAAAAAAGTATTAAAAGAAACCAAATTTGTCATTACTAATGTACCAATACCTTTAGAATTTTAAAGTTATTTGTGGAACTGGATATCGTTCCTTATTAGAGTATTCAACAAAATTGTCTATTGCTGGTAGTGTGATTTCATTTTCAAATTTACACTTCACATTCGATGAAAGAATTAAGATTTAAATCAAAATTAATCATTCTGAATCACTCATAAAGCAAAATCTTTCATACACAATGTGAAATGTGCAATAATTAAAACTGGCATTCCTGAAAGCATCATTAGATAGTTAGATTTGTAGCACTAGTAAAGACATCGCATAAACCTTTCAGTACGATTTTGGTAACTTTGATCCTGTTTCAGTAATACCGGCTCATTTCCTAAACTCCAGGGAGTTAGCCTTCTGGCACGGGATTTTCTTCAACAGCAAGAGGGTTGCCCTGTGTAGCTGATTTCCTTAAACTACTTTTAGTTCTACAGTCATTCCCTGGGATATATGTGACCTTTTGTTAAATTTTCTCATTATTGCACCAAGCAGAACAAGAACAGGTTGGCTAGAGAACAATGATATGATTGAGTACTTCCTAGACTCAAAACAGCCTTCACCCGCCATCATGTTTTACAATTTAAAAATCCTAATTCATTCATTGTCATGAATGGATACAGCTTTCCTGTTTTCTTGCTTTAACCACTTCTGGTTGTATTCATACCATCTGTTCTTTCAACAGAACCCAAGATTTTAACCAAACTGTACCTAGACCAGGCCTCAGGATGAAGCATTCTCTTTTCCCTCCATTCCACTTTTACCAGACTGTTTTAGGATCATATGAAGCTAATCACCTACATTATCTTGGCTTACCTCAGTCAAATGGGTATCTACCTACACAAAAGCAGAAAATTATGCAATCTACCTTTTCTGTTTGTAAACTGAATTTCTTGGAAAATAATTTTTATCAAAAAAATCTAACAATTTCAAATTGGATTAGAACAGGGCATACTACTTTAAGGTATTTTATGAGTATACAAAAGCATACCAAAAATTGGCTTTCTGGATCAGAACAATATCAAGTCTTGCCCTCCAAAAAACACAGAATACAATTTTAAAAACATTTATATAAACATCAGAATAATCTTGACACTAAATAGGTAGATCTTAAACACATGGCATCATGAGAAAAACCAGGGAACAGGCTATGTCCGTATGAGACAAGCTGGGGGAAGTCCAGGGACCTCTGTGTGCCATGAGCTCGAGGACGACATGTGAAAGCTTCTGGAGACACAAGAAGCCAATTCGACATTTATCATCAACACAGAGGGACTGTGACAACACCTGCATCTAACACAGATGCACAGGGACTTTCAACTCACCCTAGATAAACTTTAAGTTGTTTAAAAATAAATAATTTTGCAAAAAAATAGTTAAAAGTCTTGCAATAATTTGATAACAAGCCTACAACTCTGCAATAGTTTTTAATCCAAATAGCTTATAGTGAACACTTAAATTATATTATTACAGTATACTCCATATTCCATCTTATTAGGTGAAAACGTATCAGAAAATGAAAGAGGAGTCTTTGTAAGGTACGATCAACATTCCACCAAAATTAAGTACCTTTTCCCCTTTAAGTCAAAATACCATAACACTACAGTATCATGGCATTGTGCCTTTTCTTGATAATATCTCTGTTATCATCCTAACAAATACAGAAAAAAGGTAAGATACAGGTATGTCTGAATGCCAAAGCCAGTAAGTTTGACCTAAGACTTTTACCCTTGTGTTCAAAGGAGGTAAGAGATAGGAAAACTTGACGTGACAAAAGAAGAAACATCTCAGATCACATGTTTCATCTAAGATGGAAACATTTTCCTTAAAGCTTGTAGAGCTGAGGAGGTTTTCTGAATGAGTAATCTTTAAATACTACATTTGGAATCAAGAAATGAGTAAGTGCTCTCCATTTCAAAATAAGTAAAAATTATGAGGCATAATATCCCTTCCTTCAACAATTGACACAAAGAGGTGAAAAACTAGAGACGCCAAGTTAATTAAGAATTAAATTTAAAAGGCAAACAAAGAAGAGCCCTAATTCTTAGGTGGCAGTGTGTATGGCAGGAAACAGGACTTCTGTTTATTTGATATGGTTTTACTATTTTTCTCACGTGATACTCCACAATTTCAAAACTTTCCCTCTAAGTCATTAAGGATTGTTTAAACTGGGGAAAATGGTCACACCTAGAATATTTTAATAGTGACTATATGAAAGGAAACTATCACTCCAACTTCAAAAAAAATCTTTTCTTTCCAGTCAAAATCAATGTAAAACTTTATATAAACTTTAATGTTATAAGAGAATCCAATCAATTAATGAAAATTAGTTGTATACTCAAGTTCACCCAAGAAAATGTTAACTAAAGAAATCACAGATAAAACATTTAATTAAAGGAAAGCATAGAAAACACAGAAAAATGCTCAGGGAAGTATGACCACGATAGTAGTTCTGGTTCTATCGTCTTTACTGATGACAATTTGTACCCGAGTTTAATGACAGAAAAGGCAACAATTCCTAAATTGGTGGTATATATTTCTTTTCAATTTTTAATGTAAGGCCATTTATTAAAATAGACAAACCACAAGATGAAAATGAAGGCAACAGAAAAATTCAACTTTCACAACCAAAAAACCCAGCACAACTTAAAAAATAATTTAGTGTTGTAAAAGGTGTGTTGCAGATTTGTAGTCCTCTAACCAAGATTACATCAACTCTTAATTCTAAATAAAATCTTCTCAGTGTATATGTAAATTCCGTGTCTTATCACACACGTGTTTATTCAACACTATCATTTGGAAATGGGCCATTTGAAGACATAGTAATTTTCATTCTACAAGGTTCATTCAACTTTAATTAGGGTTGAATACAAATGAAATGTGCTTTTAATGCATAAAAATCACAGTGGATAGCAGCAAAGGACTGGGGGCACATAGGAAAATCTGGTAATTCACATTGCGATTATTCTGCACATTAATGAAAGATAATTCACACTTCTAGAACCTCAAGACATCCCTCTTTAAAAAACCAAAATAAACCCAAGACACCTTGGCAGACACTTCCCCACCCCTAAACAAATCGATGACTCTTTTACACATAAAACTAAAATAGTTATGGCAGCAAAACATTTTGATGGCAATGAAAGTTTGTAAACTGTATTTCAATCTCTTTTTCTTATTCCCAAAGTGCAAGATGCGGGGTTCTCAATCTTTCAGTAGTGCTTCTCCTGTAAGTAATCCTTCATTTTGTTTGGCAAAGGCAGTTTCTGAATTAAGTCTATTCTGGTATACTGACGTATAACAAAACGACACAGGTACTGCAAAGAGCGCACCTGCATGAACCGTGACACTGGATTGGTCAGTCTGACAGGGTAAGTGGCCGATCCAGGTAACCGAGACCTTGAATAACAAAAAGCTCCGTTTTCAGAGTCCCTGATTGAATGCTCAATTAGGTCTACTATAGATGTATGTCCTTCCACATCTGGCTGTTCATAAAAGCTAAACCTACCATTTGAGTGCTCAATTCTAGTGTGAAGTGTTTTACCATGGGAGCGAAAACTCAGGCTTAAAAGATAACGGTCATCAGAACTATCCCGTACCAGAAAAGAACCATCTGGCACGTTTGCTAGCTTCCCTTCTGCCTCCCAGCGTGTGATTGGTCCCCAGTACCACCCTTGTTTTGCGAGTTTCTTCAGCTCCTCTGTAAGGCTTGTCACAACCATGGGACCACTACTTTGCACAGAGTCATAAACTCTTGCAACCCCAGGAGCAGAGTTAGGATCAAAATTCAAATGACAACGCATACTTTCAGCCACATGGGCATCTGTGCCAGTGAGTCCACTGAAGTTCCTTTGGATTTGATTATTCTGCATTGGAGGTAGCAATGGTGAGAGTGGAGGGACATCATCGTGACTTGCTCTGGGGCTCTGCAACATGACTCCTGTGGTGCCAATCAACAATCCATTCACAGACTGATCCACGAAGATCTCTGGACCGACGACTAGGTCCCGATCTACCTGATTCTCATCTTCAGCAAAAGAGCTCCCTCCGACTTGAGGAGGAACGGCAGAGACCTCCATGGGTGAAGAACTGTCCAGACAATAGCTCCGTGATCCTTCCAAAGGATACATCCCCTCGTCTAAAGGCACGGTGTACTGAATGTAGTCCTGAGGCATAAGTCCAATAACTACAGGCACATGTTCATCCAGGTGGAGATGCAAGTCTCCACTGGGAGAATCTGAACTCTTGAGTGGATTGCTTTGCTCTTGGCAAACAGTTTCAGACTGAAGGTCATGAAAATCCTTTCGAACACCATTCAATGCAGGACTTGGGCTAGAAGAGTGAACCAAGGCTTTGACTCTCACCTCCATTTTGATGCATGTCTCCTCAGAGTTCGTAGGTCGAAGAGGCCACGGTGTGGGGCTGTAGTGGTGACTGCGGAGGGAAGTGGACCTGATGGGCCTTTGGGCTCTGACGTCCTTGAAGACCATAGGGGCTGATGAGGAGGAGAAAGTGTCCTCATCGGCAGAGCCAGAGGGCGTGCTGCTCTTGCCCTTAGGTTTCTGTTTCGCTGAAAGCCGCCTTTTTAGGGTACCCATCAGGCTCTCACTTTTTGATCTATTTTTTCCCCCCTTTTCATCATCACCATTGATATCACAGCTGGCCATATCTTTACCATAGCAGCTACCAAATAAGGAATCATCTTTTCCAAAGTCGCTGGCTAGTGATGGTGGTGGTACCACCATGAATTCAGTCTCTTCCTTGCTTTTATTCAAGTTAAAAGACTTCCGGAAGGTTTTAAGACTAATTTTCTTCATTATGACTAGTTACCTAATCCAAGGGGATCACTTGCCTTCTGAACTATTATCCCCACACATCTGGAGAAGCTGCAATGTGGCATCTATGTATTTTTCCAGGTTCGTTTAACCTTTGGAGCCATTTTCTAAGGAAAAAAAGATAAAAAACCATTTAAAAATTGATAAAAGTGGATTTCATTTTCCTAAAGCTTTTCATAAAAGATTTATTTTACCCAGTTTTAATTCTTTAGTTTCTCAACCACAACATCCAGATCTTTTCTTTCTTTCTTTTTTTTTTTTTTGTGGTACTGGAGCTGGAACTCAGGGCCTTCACCTTGAGCTACTCCACTAGCCTTTTGTGAAGGGGTTTTTGAAGACAGAGCCTCGCCAACTATTTGCTCGGACTGGCTTCAAACTGCGATCCTCCTAATCTCTGCCTCTTGAGTAGCTAGGATTACAGGTGTGAGCCACTGTCGCACATTCTTAAGAATGTCAACTGGTAAGAGCACAGTGGCTCACACTTGTCAGCCAAGCTACTTGGGAGAATTGCAGTTCATGGCCAGCCAAAGCAAAACGTTAGTGAGACCCCCATCTCAATAAACAAGCCAGGGATGGTGGCACACATCTGTAATCTTAACTATGTGGAAAGTATAAGTAGGATGATCACTTCCCAGGCCAGTCCAAGCAAAAAGTGAGAACCTATCTGAAAAAAAATAACCTAAAGCAGAAAGGGCTACAGGCATAGCTCAAGTGGTACATCACTTGCCTATCCCAAGTTCAAACCCCAGTATGGCCAAAACTGAATGTCAATGTGGGATTTTTTTTTTTCTATTTTACCTCACAGAGATTACTGTCTGCTACACAACGCATTTGGCAAACATTTGGTGATGTTTAAAGAACAAGCCCTATCTATATTCCTTTCTTTCTGCACCTTGCATGTTTTTGTTTTATTCTTACTGTACAGGCAGGTGTTTGCAGCCCTCCTTCTCTGTATCGTCCCATGTTCATTGTCAGCACTGATTCTGACCACTGCCCTCCTCTGCCCATATACCAGCCACACACAATATAGAAGGCACCACACAGCACCAGGAGAATAACAAGTCAAGCCCAGTCCTCAACAACTGATAAGATACTTTAAATACTGAAACATCTTTAAAAGTAAAAAGAACTGTGATAAGCTGTCTAGAAATGTCACTTTATCCTGAGTTCCTTGAGAACAGGGCTCATCACCCCATGTCCCGAGTGCCAGGCCAAACAGAGCGAGTGCTTGCAGGCTGGGCCTCTTCGCCCACAGCTTCTGAGCAGAAGTCTGTCATAGTGCTAACTCTGGTCACACTCATGTATCCATTTTGCACTAAGCCCTTCCCCATGCACAGTTCTGTGTGGTGACATGCAGACAATACATTATTGAAGATCCTAACCCACTAGAAGAGTAGATACACAAATGGATAAATTGTAATACGAATCCTCTAAAACATCTTGGCAACGTAAGGTGGGAGTTGAGGGAAGCACAGAGGGAAGCACAGGAATGTAGTTACAGAGAGTAAGCAGTTGCTTGGGGTATGGATGGATCAGCAGGAAAGCAGGCTTCCTAACAACCACTCAGATCAGACAACCTATCAGCAAGTTACAAAGCATCTCCATAAAAAGCCACTTTAAAGTCGTACTGTCATGTACTGTTTGTGAATGAGCTGGGAAAAATAAAACACTGCATTTTGAACACTAGCTACCTTTAAACACTAAATTCTATCAGGTAAACTCACTGAGTACCAAGTCTTTCAAACAAGCATAGTTATGTGTATAACTGCCCTGAGACCAGAGCCTAACAAGTCCAAGTTCAAATCCCAGTACTGCCCTCCTCCCCCATAAAAATCTTACAGTTAAAGTAACCCCAATAATTTGGGGGTTCAAATAGTCCTGCTTCCCACTGTCCACATATTCATACCACAGAAAGTCAGAGCCTGGCCACCACAGAAAAAGCAGCTGGCAGTTACCTATTTGAAAATTATTCCTTCTTGAACTACCAATCCATTTGCAGCTCAATGCTAGTATTACAGAAAGAAAATTCAATCCTAGACATTAGAGTCTATTTCTATTAGGCCATACGGTCTTTCATCTCTTTCCTACATTTTCTAGGCAGATTACTCTGGAATTTTTAAAGAGTATCTATTTTTCTGTTTGCACTTCCAAAAATATACACCATCTTTTTATAGGATTGCCATCTGTCTCAGCCTAAGTAAATGTTCTGAATTAGTTTTACTGCTTTCCTAATTGTAAAATTTTAAATTTACACATACACTTGAAAATGTACATAATTATTCAAGGAGAAAGATTTTAGAATCTAATGTGAAGAATACTTTATAGACAGACAACAACATCCACAAATATCTCTGCAACCTCTTTTTTAAAGAATGACTTCAGGTAGTCATGTCTGTCAGTCATAACACCTAATGCAAAAAATTAAAGACACAAATGAAACAACTATTTAATACAACAAGCAAAATAGCTTCATTTATCTGCATTTTACAAACGAGGAACCTGGGTCTAAGAGAAATTAGAATTTTCCCAGTGAAGTTAAATAACTACAACTAGCACTGTCCCTACTTCAACTGCCCTGCCTGCAGGGCTCTTCCTCTTACATCACTGTTTGTCATACTCTCACAGACCCCTTCCTCAACGAAAACTCTTCAAGACCACAAGCGCTGTTTATGTGGCTTAGATCTATTGAAATTTATCCTAATAGAAATTAAAACTGAGATTTAAAACATTTAATTGCTAATTCAGCTTAAAACAATAATATGCTCATTGTAGGTTAACCTAAGTCAACAGTTTCATGGAAAACAATCACATTTTTCCCACACAATAAAGCAGTAAGAAGTGGCACTATTTCACATTATCCAAAGTCTCTTTTGTCTGACTTAGAGAAGACAGACTCCTGTCTACTTTTGCACTGAATCTCACTTATTTCAAGTATAAGAAGAAATCCAGCAAAATACAGACATGAAGTTGGAAAAAGAAGGAATATATTTTACTTAGTAACTCGTTCATATAGTTGTGGATTTTTTGATACTATACCAAAGTTCAAAATACTATTTTCTTTTTCTTTTTTGTGGTACTGGGATTTTAAACTCCAGGCCTCACACTTTGCTAAGGAGGCACTCTACCACTTGAGCCACTCTACCAGCCTATTTTGCGTGTTAGGTATTTTCGTGATAGGGTCTCACAAACTATTTGCCTGGGCTGGCTTTAAACCGCAATCCGCCTGATCTCTGCCTCCTGAGTGGCTAAGATTACAGGTGTAAGCCACCTGAGTCTGGCCTCAAAATAATATTTTCTTACAAGTTAAATTGTACTACAGAACCTGAAACCATATCAAGAAATGTTTTTACTCTTTTACATCCAAATTCATTGGTCTACCTTGCATTTTGAATCAATGTTTTATGGATGCATGATTTTGTAAAACTGTGTGTTACTTCATCTGACAATATAAAAAAAATCGTATTTGTGAATATCACCACTGAAGTCCTTAGACAAGTCCTTAGGTATTGGGCTGTGAGAGATACAAGTTTTCCATGAAGTTTGAACCGTATCATCAGCAACAACTGTCTCTGGTTTTCATGGAAGTGATCATTTCCAACTGCTCTTTTAGGTAAAAGTGGTGCTTCATGAAAAAAGCTAGCTAGTGCAATGAGCAACTCAAACAATGGCAGCAATTTCCTCCCAAGATACACTTCCTTCTTTGGTATGCAGCAGAAAGCGATTTCTAAGTACGCCTTTTCATGATAAGGATTTTAAAAACATGAGTACTCAAGGTGAACATTTAAGTCCAACAAGAGTTTTCTTTCTCTCTTCACCCTCTCTTTCTGTTAAACCGCTTAGCAATAAAGAGCGTATGACTGCTAAAAAAGTTTACCACATTACCATGTGGCATTTGGTGCCAATGCCTTGAATCATGGTGAGGGGCCATCAATTTTATCTACCACTGCTTCTGTGTCACCAGTGAAATTTTCAATAGAGCAAAAAAAACAAACAAATGATGTTAACATTATCATGAAAGGAATCCACAGACCACATTGTGAGAACCATGGGCTTAAATTATCTGTGAAGACAGTTGAAAAGGATAAAAATAAAGACTGCTAACGTAAAGCCAAGCATCCACGCAAGAAGTTAGCCAGCTTGGCTATTGAAGTCTCGGAACCGAAGGCTTGCACTGAGCTGCTGAGCCCACCATGGTTCATACCCTTACACCCATTTTCCTGGACTCTATCCAGGACTCCTGAATCTGTGTGCCCTGTTTGCCATCTTCTTAGTTAATAAAAGGAAAAGTAAAGGACACATGCTAAAGCTTTTCCAGGAAGGGGGAAGTACAATAAGCAGGGAGAGAGCAGACCACATAATAAATAAAAACTAAAATGGCAATCTGAAGTATATGAAATGATAGAACTTAGGTTCCAAAACATTTATTATGTCTACTTAAAGGAGAAACTGGTCTTTCCCTTAGAAATTAACAATATCACTATTATGTATTATATAAATACTAATATTTACTTGTTTCAGCTTAAAATAAAATGCTGTAAGTACTACATGAATCTCTAAATTTTTTAATTAAGTGACAAATACAAATCCTCACTGATTTTAAAAACAGCCTCTAACAGAAAAGAGTGAAAAGGACATGTGCTAGCAACAAGAAAGCTAGAAAAACAGTAATGAGACAGCATTACATCCAAGGAAGGCTGTCAAACAAAATAAAAAGGGACATATTATAAAAGATATAACCTACAAAAATTAAAATCTGTCAAAAATCATTACACACAAAATGACTAAAATGTGTCTTTTAATCCAAGAAAATGAAGTAAACAAGAGTAAAAAACAGCAATTTTAAATTACATATTATCTTACCCATTAGAAATATGGGATTCTATGCCCTAAAAACTAAGAACATTTGTCAAGAACATATGGAAAAATGCTTCTAAGTGTAACAATATATTAGACCACAATGAAAATCTTAGGATATTAAAAAAAAAAATCACAAAGACATCAATATTTGACAAGGCAATAGCGTCAGGAAAAAGTTAAATGAATTAAGCTAAAACCAACAAACACCCTTTAATAACACTTGGTCACAGAGAAAATTTCAAAATGGGCAAAAATGGTATAGTATTCATAAACTATCATAGTGAAAATGCTACATATCAAAATCCATGTCGTTCTGCAAGATCCTAGAACTGAACTCACAGAAAAACTCAAAGCCTTAGAAACATTTATAAGCGTAAACAGAATTATTTTAAATTCAATTTAAGTCAAGAATTAAAAATGAAAAAGGGAGCCAGGCGCCAATGACTCGCTCCTGAAATCCTACCTACTCAGGAGGTAGAGATCAGGAGGATCACAGTTCAAGTCCAGGCTCGAGACCCTATCTCGAAAAACCCTATCACAAGAAAGGGTTGGTGGAGTGGCCTGTGGTATAGGCTCTGGGTTCAAGCCCCAGTAACACAAAAAGAAAGAAATGAAAAAGGGAAAAAAGTAGAAAAACTAAAGAAAAACAACAAATTGGTAAATCAGAAAACGAAACTGGGTAGTTGTTTCTTTATTAGACAACAAAACACTCAATTGGTAAACAGCTCCTGGCATAATCAAGCAAAAAAGAAATGTGTTTATACCAGATTAGAAACAGAGAAACCAATAAACATAAATTCACAAGAAATCAAATATGTGAATATTTTGAAAATTCTATAAAAATTACTTTGAAACTCAGATGAAAAAGATAATTTTACGGCAAAAAACATAGTGCTAAAACTTGTATTAGAAGGCCTAGAGAATGTAAAGAGGCCAGTAATTGTCTAAAAACAAACAAACAAAAGCATCCTGAAAAAGTTACCAGAGAGATACCATGGCCTTTCTTCCTTGGAGAGAAAAAGTAACAGGTCAAAAAGACACACAAGTCTAACCACCACTTTAACACACAAAGAGAAAAAAATAAAACCCTAATTTATTTCTGAAGTCAAAAGAACACCAATGATAACAAAATTTGAAACAGAATACACTTTATAAGATCTCACTTATGGACACGGAAATGCTAATCTAAGCAACAGTACAACTGGGGAGGGGGAAGCAGTTCAGTCAGATAAGGTCCATCACAGGGTTGTTAACATGGTTCTGAATATGGAAATGTATTAATATACCTAACATAAATCAAAGGAGGAAAATCATATAGTCATGTCATAAAAATGATCTGAAAAGTAAGCATCAATTCCTGATCCTCCCACCAAAAAAAAGAGAACATTCTGTAAAATAGTAATAGATCAAGATGATACAGATAACAAAATCAGAGCTGTAATGAATAATGAAAAATTTTGAAAGGTTGTCAATTATCAATACTAATTAATATTACTGTCAACAGAAAAGCTAAAGAATTAGAAAACAGTGAGGAGTATAAATATTGGAAAGGAAGAGACAAACTTGTCATTACAGATGACACAATTTAATACCTGGAAATATAATAGATGCAGCTGAGCAACTATTAGGAAAATGAAAAAGATCTCAGTCAAGTGATCAGTTACAAAATTTAGATGTTAAAAAAAGTCACTAGTAATTCTGTAATTTTTAAAAGCAGGTAAGAAAATATTGAAAAAAAAACTAGCTCCAACTGATAACATCTTCAAAAAAAAGATGAATACAAGGAATTATATGAGAAATTTAAAACTCCTGAGGATCATATCTGACCATCTAAATATACAGTAAGACACATATCTGTTCTTAGATAAAATAATTCAAGATACCAAAGGAACATCAATAATGTGTTTTTCAAGAAACTTGACAAAATTATAGTGAAGTTAACCTGATACATAAAAATGAAAGCAGAAAAATTCTAAAGGAGTAAATAAAAGGATATTAAACCTTATTACAACAGGTTAAAACCTGAGGTGAAAAGATGCACAATAGATAGTCAAAAATAGCCCAAGAAAAGGAACAAGGAAGAGGACATGTTAAGCTCTTAGGGGAAGCGGGTCACCAGAAAATGGTGTGAGTAGGTTGGACGATCATTTTAAGGGTGGAGAAAGCAGCGCTCTTACTTTATTTCTTCTATCCAAATAAATTCCAGAAAGATCAAACGTACAAAGATTTTTAAAAAGATGAAAGAGAGCAACTCTTAAAAAAATCTTGCACTACAGAAGGCCTTTTAATGCATAACAAAAAAATGTGACTCCATAAAAGCAAAGATGGTAAATCTGACAATGTAAAATTTATACATTTCTGGATAACCAAAAATTGGCATAAATATGGCCAAAATTCAACTGGAGAAAAACTGCAAACATGTATGACACAGATTTAAGTTCTGCAACATAGACTGTATTGATAGAAAAGCAAATGAATAAAATATAAAATAGCTCAAACCAAAAGAATGGTGGAAGAGAAGACAGAAGGCCAAAAAAAGCAAAACAGAAATCAAGAACCCAAAAGGGGGAGGGTGGGATTGCAGTGGCCAAGCAACATTCTAAAACATTCTCAACTCATTCGTCACTAAGTTGTTCAAGAAACTTGGGACAATGGCACTATGCCTTAACTCTGAGGGTCTCACATTTGTCAAAACCAATGAACTATGCTAACAAAGGTGATTTTACTGTATGTAAATTGTATCTCAATTTTCAAAGCTCACTGAAAAGGAAATTCAATCAAAACAAAGTAACATCATCACGTAAGAAAGTGAAAAAGTTAAAGCAGTAACACAACTTTGGTAAGGATATCCCAAACTGGGCACTTACAACTAATGGTTGAAGCATAAAATGAAACAACTTTTAAGATTATTTGAAAGCATTCATCAAAATTTTAAATTCAGAAAACCCTGTAAACTTTGAGTTTGGAATTAATAACAAAAGATAGGACTATAAAATTATAAAATAGACTGTAAAATAGTACGTAGGGGGGTACTTTTGGGAGGGGGAGGGTGGAAGAGATGAAGGTGAGGGAATATGGTTGATAGGCTTCATATACATATACAAAATAGAACAGTGAAACCTCTTGCAATTGCTTTAAGTGGGGCAGGAAGGGAGGTGGGGAGAGAGCGATAGTAGGGTGATCTAAGCCATGTACAATGTAAGCCTATTCGGAATTGTCACAATGAATCCCCCCTGTACAACAAATATATCCTAAAATGAAAAAAATTAATTCACATATGCTTTAACAAAGTAGTCATGCTATTATGAATTTGTCTTTTGGATATATACTCATGCCAAAAGCAAAGACATACAGACCATGTTCCTTTAAGCATTTTTTTAAGTTACTATTACTTGATCATTTGTCTAAGTAATGATAAATATATGCTATACATTGCCCTGATATGTGTCAGGCCTTTGTAAGTCTTCTGAATATATTGTGTGTCATTGATCCTATAACCTTATAACCCTGTAAATTTGGTACTATGTATGAACTAGTATGACACTATGGAACCAGTAATGCTAAAATAAGAGTGATTATGTGATTGTCTCTCTAAAGAATAGGAAAAGGGAACAGGAATGCCTGTTCCCTTTTATTAATTAAACCTTTCTGTAACCACTGAGCACTATATAATGCCATCCCACCCCACAACTACAAAGGAAGGTAAAGCAGTATAGGTAAAGGAGCTCCTGCGTCTCAGCCACCCAAGTTATGAAGAGCACGACTCTGAAGCCCTTAGTGTCAAAGGTATTCATCCTCACAAGCCTTCCCCACCTATTACTAATCCTTCATAGTTTTTCATCTCATAATGCAAACAATTCCCCTTTATGCCTTGCCTCACCCTATGTACCCCACATACATCTCAGCCTTTGGCTTCCACTTTAACCACAGGTCAGACTGTTGTGGTGGTTCTGTTCCCTGTGGCCACCAGGAATTAACACCTCACTCAGCCAAATCCCTGACATCTAACACTCAGCACCCCCAGTTCACTCCATACAGCAGTGGTTTTCATCATTAACTACAATTTCCATTAGCTCCCTTAATTTATGTTCACTTCTTTGCCTCTCTCACCTCCCTTATTTTATCACTCCAAGTCATATCTTCGTCTTGACACTGACAAAACACTGTACTTCGGAAAAGTCCGAAGACCTGGCAACAAGCAGTTAAAACCACAAGGCTGATGGGTGGACATTACCCTTAAGGACTTCAGGACTCAGCACTGCAGCTCAAACACAGCAGGACTCAGCCAGAGGCAGGAGGGGAGGCTCCCTCACTGTGGAGACAATTCCCTCCATGGGAAGGCGAACTGTGCATTTTCCTTCTTGCCCCTCCCAGGAGTTCTGTATATAAGACAATCTTCATCTCCATCTTACAGGAAAAAACACATGAACCTTATTTGATAATTTGTCCAAAGTCACAAAGGAAGTTGGTAAAAACAGTGTATACCCAGTGAGAGTGACGCTTAGCATGATGAAATAAAGAATAAGTCCTCTCCCCCTACAGTAACTCTGAAGTTTGGGATAAACTATCAGAAGCCACCATTTCAGCACTTTAGAAATAAACAGTGCATGAACCAGTACTCTTGGAAACTACTGAGCTCTGAATGAGGGTCTGTGGGGCAGCTGACAGCACTGGGAGCAAGAAAGGAAGGTTTCCCACAAAGAGAAGCAGCAATAGCAATAGAGGCCACCTCTCCTGGGGGACAACTGAGGCCAGAAGGCAGTGGGAGGACTCATGCAAACTGTTAAAGAAAATTTTAAATACTCTTACCCAAAAAACAATGCATGCTCAGAACTAATCAGGAAAAAGTAACATGAAATAAGGGCATTCCTATGTAGAAAAGGCTGAGTAAATATGTTGCTGGCAGTCATGTCTTTAAAAAAATACAAAAAGGAAGGGCTTCAAATTCAAAGAAAGTAACATTTGGCGATGACTAGAAATGATGAATGTAAAATACCATAAATATATGTGCTCTCATTTTTCTCTTCTTTAAAGGATGTGAAAAGATGTATCAGCAATTGTAACCTGTCGAGATCACAGCATAAAACACACACAGAGATGTGACATGTGTGAATAATGGCACAAAGCATTGGGAAGACTGAGGCATCCAAAGCCAAGTTTCTGTATTTCACCAGAATGAAGTTAACATTATTTTGAAGTAGACTGTGGTAAGTAAACATACATATAATGATCCATGCAGTGATCACAAAGAAAATTATTTTTCAAAAACATCGACAGAATTAAATCGGTATACTAAAAAAGATACATTTAACACAAAAGAATTCAATAACCCAGGAACAAATTAAAAATGAAATAAAAATTTAAAACTAGCAAACTGACGATATAAATCCAACATGTTGACAGTTACATTCAATGTAAATGGGCTAAGCCCTGTTCTCCCAAGTCACAATACAGACTACAGGCAAAATCCAGCCCACCATCTCTGCATGAATTACGAGGTGAAAAAAGTTTTGATAATGGCTAATTAAAATTAAAATAATAATATTCTGTGACACCACGAAATTCTATGAAATCCACACTTCAATAGTCACAAATAAAAGTTTTTCTGGTTCAAAGCCACACTTATTTTATTTCATGTTGTCTACAGCTGCTTCCTCGATACAACAAAAAGCTACATCACGGAGTAGGAGGCTGTACAGTGTGCAAAGCCTCATAGTTACTATTTCATGTTTTGTAGAAGTCTGCTGGCGCCTGCCTAATCACAAAGGAGAGATTGTCAGACTAAGAAAAACAAAAAGAAAAACTATGTGCTGTTGACCAGGTTCCCCTCCTAATGAATCATTTGAAAAGAAGAGGAAAGAATTCCTACCAAGTGAACAGTGACCATGGCAGCTAGAATGCCTATGTTAATATCTACAGACTTTAAGACAGGAAGTATTTCTAGAGGCAAAAAAGACCTTTCAAAATGAAAAAGGGTCACTACATTACAAAGACATAAAAATTATATTTGTGTACTTAACATTAAAACCCCAAAACACACAAAAAGCTGTAGAACAGAAAGGAGAAAAAGACAATTCAATAATAAGACCCAAAGATTTCAACAAGGTTGAGGATTCCTAAAACAAAATCTGAAACCTGAAATACTTCAAAATCCAAAGTGTTTTGATTGGCCATGGTGGACAATTTCACACCTACCTTCAAATTACAGCCACAGTAACATTACCTTCAGAAGTTCAAACACCAGTACCACCAATAAATAATTACATAAAGTCACCTCCAGGCTATGTGTATTAAGGGAACATGAAACACAAATGAATTTTATTTAGACTAGAGTCCCTTCCCAAGGTATCTCATTATATGTTATCAAATATTACAAAATTCAAAAACGTATAAAATCAGAAACACTTCGATACTCAACATATAATTGACAGAACAAGTGGAGAGAAAATAGCCAGAATATGTAAGAGCTGAATGCTATGGACTAACTTAAGCTAATTAAATTTTTTCAACATATTTTCAATGTACAAGATGCATAGTCAAAATTATAAACATTGCTGAGTGAAGGATGCTAAATAATTGGATATTTCATGTTCATAGATTGGAAATTCTATATTATCAACACGACAATTTCCCCAAAACTGAAAACTGTTCTACAAAATCAAACACTCCCTACTGTAAGAAAAACGATCTTTTCTATCAAAGTATATGTCACCCTCTTAGATTACTTAAAATCCTTCAGGCCACCATCTTAGGTGACTTGTGCTGTTTAAAGGGTTCCTATTTCTTCTTCTGGATTCTTGTACAACCCCACTGCACACAAAAATTCCCTGCCAAATTATGTGCTCTAACCCATTCCCCCAAGCCTTTTAGCCAATCAAGAAAGACTGTGAACCTTTGACCTGGACAAATCTCATGTGTAGTTGGCAGGTACCAACTGCATCAGTAATATAAGGAGAAGCCACTGCCAACCATTTTGTGCTCACATGTCCGCTCAGCTGGAGTGAATACATGCTTGCACACTTCTGATCAAAAGAAATTGTCTTGTCAGGATTTTTTGTCTCTTGTGTTTCGGCACCAGAAGGTCTTTAATTCCAACACTACCAAAAACCCATAGGCTCTTTTGTATAAACTGGTACCATTCCTAAAGTTTATATGGAAATGTAATTCTGAAAAATAACAAAACTGTACAAATCAATTTCAAAAGCGACTATGAAGCTATAATAACGAAGACAGTGTACTACTGGCATAGAGACTGTCATATACATCAATGGAACAGAGAAAAAAAAAAAAAGAGTCCAGAAATCAACCTTTACAATTACTGTCAACTGATTCTCAAGCCAAGGCAAACTGATGAAGAAAGCATAATCTTTAAAAATTAACTCAAAAGGGGGATGAAAGAGAGCAGTGGAGGGGGTGAATTCAAGTACCATGTATTTGATACATTTTAAAACCTTTGTAAATGCCACAATGTACCCCTACCCAGCACAACAATAAAGAAAATAAAAAGAAATAACTCAAATTGGATCAAAGTCCAACTGTTAGAGCTAAAAACATAAAACTTCAAAGAGAAAAAAAATATTTATCATGCTGGGATTTGAACTCAGAGCTCTGTACTTGCTAGGCAGGTGCTTGACCATCTGAGCCACACCATCAGTCCCAGAGAAAATGTTCACGATATTGATTTAAGCAAAGGGTTCTTAAGTACCATACCAAAAAGCACAATATAAAGACAAGAATGCTGACAAATTAGACCTCATTAAAACAAAAAAATACAACTAAAAATTGTAAGTGTTTGTGTTTCAAAGAAACACAAAAGAAAGGAGAAGACTAGGAGAAGGCATAACTGACAAAAGGTTTCTACAAAGAGCCTACAAAGACCTTCTCTTACACCAAGAAGGTCTAGCTCAATGGCAAAAAGAGCACTTAACATGCATGAGGCCCTGACAAAAGATGAGGGAGGTTTTGAAGACTTGAACAGATCAAAAGACATAGATAGCTGTTTAGCATATGACAAGGTCCTTAATATTATCAGTTGTTAGAAAAATATAAATTAAAGCAACAAGGAGATACCACTACACACCCACTAAAATGACAATATCAAGTGAAGCCAAGAATGCAGAGAAACTGGAAATGTACTGCTGATAAAAATGTAAAATAGGCCGGGCACAGTGGCTCACACCTGCAATCCTCGCTACTTGGGAGACCGAGACAGGCAGATCAGTTCAAGGTAGCCCAGACAAAAAAGCTATGGGACTATATTTCAAAGAACAAGCTGGGCATGGTGGTTCATGCTATCATCTCAGCTACACCGGAGACATAGGTAGGAGGATCTGGGACCAAGGCAGGACCTGGATAAAAAGCAGGAGGACCCATCTGAAAAATAAGCAAAGCAGTAACTAAAGCAAAAAGGGCTGGAGGCATAACTCGAGTGGTAGGAAGTATGTCCAGCTAGAAACGCAAAAAAAAAAAATCTTACTTGAGAAAGCCATGGTTTAAACACGTAGCTAAATCTACAGCACAGAAAGAACCTGTGACAGGACTGGTATGTTTTAGACCCCAGCCATCACCGTAGCTCAGGTCTATAAACTATCTTGTCTCTTTCTTCCTCCTCTTCCTTGTCCTTTCCCTTACTCCTCCCTCCCTCCCATCCGTTTTTTTTCCATCTGCACACTACCTGTATCTTCACTTTCTAATCTTTGTGGGTATTGGGGGGAGAGGGGTGGTTACCTGAAGAACTGAAGCTTCTCATTCTCATTTTAGTCACATTTATCAGTCTTCCTTTATTATATGCTCTTTATTGTCTTAAATTCCTGACATACACATTCTCCTGTTCTTCCTATAAAAAACTGTGGAAATTTTGCTTTTCACATTTACATCCTTGATCAATCTAGAATTAAAATTTCTGTATGAGGTAAGGATTAATTTATTTTCTCCATAGTTTTTCCAATACATTCATAGAAAAATCTGAGTGTCATAAGAATCAAAGAAATATAAATTAAAATAGTGACAATATCATTTTTCTAAAGTCAAATAAGCAAGTATTTTTCTAATGATGATAGTCATTGCTTAAAAGTATCCTAATACAGTTATAAAAATTAATGTGGCAATATTCAACTTCACCCAATAATGCTGCTTTTCTACATTCTTTAAACCAAAGTATGACAATGTTCCCTGTCTTATGATAAAAGAAACTTTTGGTTTTAAAAAAAGTCAGAAGTGTCCTAAATTTCCAAAAGTATGAGGGCAGTAAACAAAATCCTAACACATCTATACAACAGACCTTTAGGGAACCACTAAAATTGATATTTATATGGTCATAAATAACATGGGAGAAGTTCACACTGCTCATGTGTTAAGTGCAAAAACACAGGAAACAAAATTATATGAAAAGTGTGTTCTTGATTATGTAGAAAGA